AGTGATACTTGATTCGGAAGTGCAACCCGATTAGTGTATATGATATAGTTGAGACACTGCTGAGGGTCTATGACTCGGCTTCAGACTATCAAATACAATTACCGATGCTCTACAAGTGATACTTGATTCCGAAATGGCAACCCGTTTAGTGTATATGATATAGTTGAGACACTGCTGAGGGTCTATGACTCGGCTTCAGACTATCAAATACAATTACCGATACTCTACAAGTGATACTTGATTCCGGAATGGCAACCCGTTTAGTGTATATGATATAGTTGAGACACTGCTGAGGGTCTATGACTCGGCTTCAGACTATCAAATACAATTACCGATACTCGACAAGTGATACTTGATTCCGGAATGGCAACCCGTTTAGTGTATATGATATAGTTGAGACACTGCTGAGGGTCTATGACTCGGCTTCAGACTATCAAATACAATTACCGATACTCTACAAGTGATACTTGATTCCGGAATGGCAACCCGTTTAGTGTATATGATATAGTTGAGACACTGCTGAGGGTCTATGACTCGGCTTCAGACTATCAAATACAATTACCGATGCTCTACAAGTGATACTTGATTCCGGAAGTGCAACCCGATGAGTGTATATGATATAGTTGAGACACTGCTGAGGGTCTATGACTCAGCTTCAGAGCACCAGACACAATTACCGATGCTCTACAAGTGATACTTAGTTCCGGAATTGCAACCCGATGAGTGTATATGATGTAGTTGAGACACTGCTGAGGGTCTATGACTCGGCTCCAGATCACCAAACACAATTACCGATACTCTACAAGGGATACTTGATTCCGGAATGGCAACCCGTTTAGTGTATATGATATAGTTGAGACACTGCTGAGGGTCTATGACTCGGCTCCAGATCACCAAACACAATTACCGATACTCTACAAGTGATACTTGATTCCGGAATTGCAACCCGATTAGTGTATATGATATAGTTGAGACACTGCTGAGGATCTATGACTCGGCTTCAGACTATCCAACACAATTACCGATACTCTACAAGTGATACTTGATTCCGGAATTGCAACCCGTTTAGTGTATATGATATAGTTGAGACACTGCTGAGGGTCTATGGCTCGGCTCCAGATCACCAAGCACAATTACCGATACTCTACAAGTGATACTTGATTCCGGAATTGCAACCCGATTAGTGTATATGATATAGTTGAGACACTGCTGAGGGTCTATGACTCGGCTTCAGACTATCAAATATAGTTACCGATACTCTACAAGTGATACTTGATTCCGGAATTGCAACCCGATTAATGTATATGATATAGTTGAGACACTGCTGAGGGTCTATGGCTCGCAGGGTTTGTCCATTGGGAAAATGGGAAAAGTTTCCCTTGGGAAATTTCCCACTTTCCCGTTCCCGGAAAAACTGCCAGTTTTTCCCTTGGGAAAAATGCGAAAACACCTCGTTTTTCTCTCCATGAGCAGTGTAAACTACGGGTCATACTCATAAAGCGATCATATTTATCCCAGTGTTCTTAAATGTCCATAGTAAAGTGCAAAAGCAGTGTTCCAGCCGTGTGAGCGATTTTTCCCACCCTGGGCGCGCGCTTCTCCACAAGTCTCTCTATAGCGCGCTTATCATCGAACATTACTCTCACGAAATCTGACTCTGTTTTAGTTATCCAACGGTTTGGAAGCCCAAAACTTCGATATATACGACTTCAGTGTTGATTTGGGACATTGTTGAGGGCCAGTTGGCCCGGCCAACTTGGCCGTGACCCAATGAAGATGATGCCTGCTGAGATGTTGTCGTGCCTTCCAGCTGTTCCAAATGCCAAACGCTTCGAGTGGACGTTGGCAAAAGTGGCATATGTACTTCCATCCATCAGGGGTATAACACAGCTGGTAGAAACCATCGGGTTTAAACTCTCCCTTCGATGGACCGTCCATCATGAGCGATAGACGTAGCGATTCAAAAAGCTAAGAACGAAGTCCCTAACGCAGATAATCAATGCCCTGAATCTTCACTCAAAAACTTCGAGATTAGTTAGAATAAGGATCTCATCATACGTATAGACTATCCACTGATTATTTGAATAATCGTGGTCAACTCGTTGGGCCAGTTTACTCGGCGACGGTCACCGGCGTGTGTGAAGGGACAGACACGTTGTGTCGACACAACACCTAGCGTTATTTAGCAGTGATTCAAAGTTCTTCTAGGATGTTGGGTTACATCCCACCTTCGCCTCAGTTATTTGTCGTCCCTTTTCCAACCTCCCACCCACCCTGGCGATGTGGTGTGGCACCTCACGTTCCGTGTGAGGTTGGCCCCATCACATTGGCCGAGGATCACACGTGTTTAGTGTCATCCTCCGG